AAGAGTGTTTCAGGTGGTACACGAGCTGTACGACTTCATCAATAACAGCACAGTGATCGAGGAGGCAGAAGTAAAAACGAAAGCGCATCGCCTTCTTAAGCACTATGAAAAGCTACTGGTCGAGGCTGTCAATTTCGAAGGTACAGAGGATCAATAATTAAATAGAAGTAGTTTATTATATAGAACATTTTCGAGTAGTATATTCGTTTCCGGCGTTTGAAGATTTCTAGGTGAATAGAGGATAAATTAATTGGCATCAAAAAATTTCTCGAAATGTACCACTGTATCCTATTCCCATGTACCTATGCCGTGATTTTCCGGGCCTGCTAGTGTGGAGGCCAGCGTTTTGTCTGCCATATCGGACAAAAAAGTTTGGTATTAATTGACTGAATCTAGAGGGATGTAACTTGATTTGCCTGAGCCAGGTCCAGTCTGCAATCCGACCCACGACCTGCGCGCGTGATGGACTGAGCAACGTGCCACCAAATACCTCGACGTGTGCAGGGGAGGCTTTTTAAACTTATCAAGGTTTTGGTCGCAAATGCTGCCATTTGCGGAAATTTTACGGAAAACTATACCTAGAGCGTCCCACCTTGCAAGTCCTTGCTCACTGCCCACACCCTTTTGAAAATGTGATGCATCGCTGCTGAGCTCATGAAGCCCACCGTGTTGCTTGGTTGCTTCAGTCTGAAACTTCGCCTGGCTTTTCCAATCGATGCTCTGTGAGCATTTTCCAAGAGATCGTTCTGAATATGCAAAACTCATTTCAACCTACTTCTCACACAATGTTGTAGTGGTTCACGATTAGTTATGATCTTGTTGAGCTTGATTTGGCCGTGTGCTCGTAGCAGAATCTTGTACTATTACCTGTAAGAAGAACTTTGTCAGGTATCACAGATGGGAATGTTCTCCTCACACTTCACTTCACATTCACGACGGCGCCCCTTTTCCACTTTCGGTCGCGTGGGACGGACGCGATTTTGTGGGCGCCGCCGCCTCACCTCACATCCGCGGATTTTGTACTGTAAATGAAAAAACATGAATGTCACAAAATAATTTCTGCAATGTCCAATGCGTAAAGATTATCTAAACATATAACAGTAGGATTTCGATCAAACGACGAATAGTGGTAACGAAAAGAGCATTATTCACTCACGTAAAAGAATTTAAAGGCTTTTTTACCTTGGTCAAGGTTTTGGACTACAGCCCCTTCATTAGGCGCCTTGCGAGGAGTTACTCAGCTGGCAGTCCATGTGTCGTGTGCCGTTCGTTTCACGAGCACAATTCATGGTCAGGCAGGGCGGCTGCGCAGGCAGTGAATGCTTGTTAAGATTGATATTGTAGAATCAAATTTCTATGCAGCAAGATGGATTAAATTTCGTATCGTTCGTATAGAAGGAGCTTTCCCTTGGTTTCCCTGTGAATATGCCTCCCGTTCTAGTGAAACAACAAAATAGCGGATTAGAATAGCAATCTTGAAAGGGTGAAAAAGTCTGAAGATCTGAAAATTGAGCTGTTTCGAGATCTACTGTGTTGTAGGTTACGACGAACATGACGATCTTCGACCAACTTATCAGTGGACGTTTTCTGGGGCGTTGCTGTATTCGATCACCGTTTTCACCACAATAGGTGCGCCAAAGGATTTCAACTGTCATACGGTGCTAATTTCAGGGCAAACGTTACTATAGCATTTTTAGGGTACGGCCATATTTGCCCGAAAACAGACACTGGTCGTCTCATGACGATACTCTATGCGATGGTCGGCATCCCTTTGATGCTTTTGTGTTTAGCTAACATCGCAGAGACGCTGGCACAGGTACACATTTTCAAGTTTTTAATCAATATTCCATAGGTAATTTTCAAATTTTACCCAAAACTTCTCAGATTTTCACCTACATCTACTTCAAAGTCTGCTGTGCCTATTGTCGTTGGCAACAAAAACGGCGGCGAATCCGTCGTGCAGCGTTGTCATTCCGCTACCATCCGAACGCAGCCGTGAATAACGTCCGGCGAGGTCTGATCCATATATCGATTACATACAAATAAGTCAGTGGGACAGTTATAATTTCAGCTCAATCTGGTCGATCAGCTCAACGATACACGACCGTACGACGACATGCCTCATTGAACAGAAGTCGAGGACGGTACCCGGACACCAAGAGTGTGCGGAGTTTCGGTCGAAATCAGGAGGGGTACGTAAATTAAACTCCGAATAAGGGAGAATTCCAAGATAAGGACGAAGATCGAGAAAGGGGAAACTTATCTAGTAGAGATGCAGGCGGACCTCCTAAGGGTAGGACCGACACACAATTCGCATCGAAGGATATGCCCTCGGCGATCTAGCATGGCCTTCCCTACGGTGCAATTGGCGCGGAAACGCCCCTCCCGCGTCGTCTCGTGTCTGAGTCTCTAGCCGTTTAGCAGAGAGAGCGTTAGCGTTGAAGAGGGCAGCACCGATGAGAGTCGCATCAATGCGCAAATCGGGCAAGGAAGGGGTCCCATTTCTCGGGTTCTGGGCCATTTTTCTCGGTTTTTCTTTCGTGCATCACTGACCTTCTCTAACTTGATTTCCTAATGGGCTGTCTCCTCATCGTAAACTCCGCCTTCAAAATATCGGAGGATAAGAATATGGGATAAATTCTAGGTGCTGCTATCATAAGTGGTAACCGGCTACGCGGCTGCCTCATCAAGTATTGAGTTGAAATAACATATCGTAGCGTTTTTTTTTTGAGCGTATAAATTCAGTGAGTGCAAATGCAACTCGGAACACTATTTATATCACTTGAAAAGTGTTTCTTCTGCTCTATACTACTTGTTTCTTATTTTTAAGCTTATAAAGGTACACATATAAAGCTCAGAAGTTGGATGAGCCAGGCGGCAAAAATCGCCATTTCGGCAGCTGCTTTTCTTTTATACATAAAAAAGCTGCCGAAACGGAAGTTTTAGAATTCGTTGTCTTTTCGAATCTTACTCTATCGACACCTACTTTTTTTCGCTCAATACTGGATCATGTTACGTCGTATAAAATTTAGGAAAGGAAGTCTTCCTAAAACGCGTTGTCCATACCTTGTCTTATTCTACATCCGTAAATTCTTCAAATCGAATCGATTGGCTAAATAATGGCAGGGAAGGACACTTGATTCGTTTGTGTTTCTGTTTTGCTCCGAACGTTTTGTGCCGAATGCAAGTGCTTCAATCTAACCAGGGGAAGTTGTTTGCAGTCAAAGTTGGCAAGAGTGCAGCAAAAAAGTGAGTTGCGACATCGAACTGGCGCCGGATAGCCACTGTCTCAAAAATGAATGTCATATTCGTGATTAGGCCACACCCCATAGGCAAAGTTTCAGGGAAAAACTAAAAATGCCGATGCGTTTAGAATAGCTCGCCCCGCTCGACGCTGCAATTTCGCCAGTCGATGATTAGCCTACGACTTGCTCTGAATGTTCACGTAGCGTTTGGATTCTAATATTTATAACTGGCATTCATTTCTCTTTTTTTAATTTGCCTTTTGGTACTCATGAAAAGTTCCAATGGAGTTTGAAGCCCTTCTGCTAATTCCAACTCAATAATTATTGAAATTCGCACCGATCCAAAGGCCTCAACGCATAAGTCCTGGTTGGAATGATAAAGCAGACGTGGTTGTATGCGTTCATCAAGCCCTGGAAAGTCGTCACATGTCCATTTCTACCAGCTCTCCTTTGTTTTTGTTTGTCTTGCGATTTTCCCGTAATTACTGAACTTATAAATTAATTACCGTATTCAGTAAAGAATGATTGGCGGGAGTAAGTAATGACAAATTTCAGTAGCCGTCACGAAATGCAGCGTTTCGACACGATTAGTCTACCAGGCCGACGGAAAATCAGCCATTCTCGAAGTCCTAATGGCACGCTCTCCAGGAACGCGTTTCCCAAGAAGTAATATCGTTCAGTTCAATTACTGTGGGAATTTTAGTTGTTTTGGAAAAACAGGTTTATCGAATATTCTTCTAATACTCTAACGAAACGTTCATTTCGAATTTTCGATTTAGATTCTTACAGTCTTAAGGCATATGTAAATGTGAGTTCAAATAGCAGGCTCATGGGGTACGCTCCACGCGCTCAGTCCGAGCACAGGTGCGTGGCTTCGCCAGCGATTCCTGCCTTATCGCCTGAGGTCCAACACGATGTGCCCTCATTCACATCTGTAGTGCTTTCCTTTCCTCGCCTCCTCCAATATGATTTGTGGTTGTCCACAGTTCTCCTCCCTTGGATCCCCCTCCCCTCCCACTGTAAAAATGTTTTTATTGCCAAAAATTGATAGCGCTTGGTGCAATTCTGTACTGCTGTTCAACGCCAAGTTTTTCAGCAGTGGTCGATATAATCTACAAAAATCTAATACGGCTGTGAATATCGAACAAATGACTATGCATGACCTCGATGACAAGCGACATCGACGACGGAAACTTCGAACGACCGCGTCTGAGAGCCCTGCCAGGGAGTTCAAAGGTACCGTCTCTGGCTTATTAATATTTTCGTGTCAGGAACATCCTGGAAAGAGTACGAACGAGATTTTAGTCGATTTTATTCTTTTTTGTTGGTTTATATTTTCTTTATGATTTATGCTTGGATGATTGCTCTGATAATGGCCTCCTCAGGCCTCGTCATTTCTAGAGCACTGATTTTTACAAATTGACAGCGATATTTCAAGGTGGAATCCCGGTCCGAGCACATCATGAAGATGGCGCTACTGAGATGAAGGTCTACTCGGCGTCGTCGTTCCATGAAATCCCTCACGAAAGGCGGTATGTGAGCATGTGCTTCACGTTCGTCCTTATGTTTTGGTGTTTTGCTTATTGGTTCTCTTATTACGGGAGTTTGGATGCTAAAGATTTTTGGACTGTTCCAGAAGGCGTAGACCGGAGGAAGGCACGTCTAATGTCCCGAATGTGGTGATTTCACGAAGTCGGGACGATGAGGTCAAAGCACACAGTGACGTTGAACGAACTGAGGAGACCAGTGTGCAAGTGAGCTTATATCGTTCGCCTTCATTTTCTATGCCTCTTACTCATGATGCTTTTTTGATTTATGCGCAGTCAGCATTTCCTGTTGCCTTTTCGGGTTCCCAAGGTTATAGATTCCATGATGGGGTTATAGCTTGTACGTTGGTTTTTAGATTTTCGTTTTTTTTTTACTGTTTCCTGATCTTCCTTTGAGACGTAAAGAAGGCTACCTTTGACTTAGCCTTGAATGAAAAGATCGTCCTTTCCCCTTCCCCTTCCCACTTAGGCGGCCTTCCGCTATTTAGCTAATTTTTTTCAGCTGTCCTTCTCCGATGACGATGAAATCGACCGTAAGCCACAGTCGCGCGATCCTAATGACATGGTGCGAGATCTCGGCCGTGAAGTGACTCGTGAGGAATCGCGTGAAGGACGTGGTGACCGATACCAGCATGGGCCGTCTAAACAACCCAGTATGGACAGCTCGATGTCAGAAGGTACGTCTGTCTGAAAAGAGTTATGGTGAATGTGCCGGAAAGTACAAGCTTCGTTCTTGGAGGCTTTTCGCGGTTGACTCCAGTCCCCTCAACGACGTTTGAAGGTTTCCTTTTCGAGTCAAGCTATCTCGTTGGATTCACCGAAATTCCTTTTTTTGGGAACTTCCTTCTTTACCCACCCATTTTTAATATAAGAGCTGGGAACTGTGAAAATTGATCTGAATCCCTTTATTGTTAGTGCCCAATAAAATGGTATTATTTCGGGCACCGAATGAAGTGTCATCCTGACTTTCGAATTCTCCCTTTCACCTATCAAATGTCTTCGGGAAGGTCGAAATTCTCTGCTATCGTCAGTTTCGTCTTTAGCCTAAGATAAAGTCGAAATTTATGAGTTGGTCTGATTTTCCCATTTTTAACTCCCACGTGCAGCCTGTAAACACTTCAGGTTACGCGACTTCGACGGTCGCTCCTACAGGTCGGACCGGTCCGAGCGATCAGATGAAATGTCGTTGCACTCCATGAGAAGACAGGTAACTCTTCTGCAAAGGTCTTTTTTATAGAACCCTCTATGTTATTTGCCGGTTTCAGGGCTATGGTCATTCGAAAGAGAAAATGCCAGTCAGTGTCGGTATTTGTATCGTGTTCGCTTTCATATCAGGTAGGTTCCGCATCGGCTGAACTGAAAAATATTCATCAATCAAAAAAACTTTTCGGTTGTTGTGTCCCAAAATGGAAGCAGTGGTCGTGTGGGATGTCATTGGTGTTTCTTCCGGTGTGGATAAAGTGCGGAAAGCTGTGCCAAAATCTCGAAAACCAGCTGGCCCAACGTTAGGGCATTTTTGCGCTTTGACTCCGCGAGAGTCTTATTGGTTGCCGCCATCTTCTAACTGTACTTTACAAAATATGAAAAGCAGTTAACCAATGAGGTTTCGCGGAGGCGAGCTCGAAACCCGTTCATTTGATCAACGCGTCATGTAGGTTCAAAAGGTTATTCCTGTGATAAGTTCGAAGCTCGAAAAGGAGACACTTACTCAGTGAGGAGAAGAAGGGCTCTCTCCAAGGTGTGTGACAACGCGCAATTCGCAGCGAAGAGATACACCTAACGTTCTAGGCATGACACTCCACTCCGCTTGTCGGACGCCGGCACACCGCCGGCTGGCTAATCACCGCCGCAGTTTCTAGCCGCTTTAATCAGCGGCACTAGCCGTTGAAGAGATCGTACCGTGTGAGACGCATCCATGCGAAAGTCAGAGGGCAAGGAAGAGATATCATCTTTGTTTAATTGTGTTTTTTTTTTTATTTTTTTATCTCGAGTTTTTGGACCCGTTGCTCCTGCCGTTTTCTCTTATCCAAGTTACCGACTGACAAACCTTCACCTAATTCATGGCGCTCCCTTCTCATGGTGAGCTCCGCCTTCAGAACTAGCCTTTTTTAGAAGCTCTTTTTTGCTTTTCTCATCACTTATTTACCAAATACAGCGGAGTCGTTCACATTCGACATTCTTTCACAAAATCTCTACTCATGCAATCACAGAATGTGCCCTTAAGGGAGCTTTTCACGTAGACGGCACCAGAACGCGAATCTGTTCGAACTTCTGCTGGTCATGTCATCGAGAATTTGGGAATAAGCTTAATCTGAAAACGAATCTTTCAGGTGGAGCAGTGCTGTTCAGTTGGTGGGAAGGTTGGAATCCATTTGACGGTGCTTACTACTGTTTTATCACGCTCAGGTAACTATGTGAACATTTTTGACATTTGATACTATCTTATCAGTTACCATGTGAAGCGTGGGTTTACAAAAAGGGCAGACATCAATCATGAAATATTCCAAGACAAGATACAATTCCGGAAGATATTTCGGGAATGTCTTCGCGATCAGATTAGCAAATTTATTACAGTAACCTCTCGAGAGCATTCTCTCAGCGTGAACTCTTGAAGCAACGAATTAGACTTATGTTTTTCAGCACAATAGGTTTTGGTGATATCGTACCTGGTCAAGCGTTGGACGAAGGATCACAGGTGATTCATTGGCCATTGTTTTCATATGGTTTTACGCACTCACTTAAGCAATCCATAGCTTTCTATGATTCGCTGGGAGTTCCGAATATAGGACTTGTTGTTCTCATGCTATATAGGAGCATGATTTTACGTGTCCAAAGTGTGCGGACGCATCACTCACGGCTTCTGCAATATGGATCAAGGCAGCCCAAAATTCTGACTCCAACTCCCAATTACTTCATCTTCTGCCCAATATGAACATCCCTCCCACCCCCTCCCCCTTCACTCCTTCGCTTGCATCTATTCACCTTCTTCGCCACCCCCCCCCCCATGGCAGGTTTCAAACTCGACATACACTCCAACGTTAGCTTGGTCCACCTCTGTGCGCGCTCACCACGCAAGAACATTTGGCTTCTCTCTTGGACATTCTTGAACCATTTTTTCTTTGATTTTCTGGGCGCCCTGGAAGGGAGCTCGTTCCCGAGAGCTTCCGGTTTATGATAAATTCTCATCCTTGCCAGATTTTTCCGCTCCCTAGGATGTCTAGGAAGCGATATCTGAGCTTTTGAGTCAAGCACTCGCAAATCAGGAAACGTTCCGTTCATTGTGGGCTCTCTTAGTCTCTCTCTCTCTCATTCTCTTCGTCTCCTCCGACTGCCGCTCACCTTTTCCGTTTTCCGTTATTCCCGGTTTACGTTCGGTAGTACTGATTAGAATTCCGGCTCCTCGGTATATCCATTTTGGTGCATGCCCTCCCATGGTGGGTGTCCTCCTCCCTCCCTAGTTGAATATGGAAAAGCAGAGTTTGGGTGGTCCTGAGATGACTGCGCCGGTCTGTACTAGCGTATTGTGCATACCAGGTTCCTTTGAGATCAACAAAAAATCTTGTCAGAAAAGGTTTTTTCAGACTGCCTAAACTTTCATTTAGGAGAAATTGGTAGTATGCGCGTTGTACCTCTTATTCGGTATGGCGCTCATCGCTATGTGTTTCAAATTGATGCAAGACGATGTGGTACAAAAAGCACGGTGGTTAGGTCAGAAAATCGGCATCCTAGGTGAGTCAGATTCGTATCTCAAATTCATTTGGTCCTTTTAATCTTTTATCTCCATTCTAGTGCGCGTTTTCCCCTAGGGAGATCGCCCCCTTCTCTTCACCCCAATCTACAGAGTACAGCGTGGAGTGTAAAGTGTGCTGTTGCTAATCATGCTTTCTTTTTATGTTGCTTTTATGTGTTTTGTGTTTGCCTGTGCGCTTTTTCATCGCTATTTCTCAGCCCCTACAATGGAGCTCAGCGAGGCGATCGCTCGACATGCTGTCTTCGTTTTTGGTGCTGCTGCTGTGCTGGAAGGTTTGAGTGATTTTATTTCATGTGAAATGGAATGGAAAGATTTCGATTTGGTTGGCTTGGCTCTATAATTTTTTATGTTGCTTTAGCTTATTTTGAGTTCGAGGCACAAAGAATGCCCGCTATTACAAGGCAAGGATTGGTGATGCATTTTATGAATTGCTTAAGTTCACAGTCGCGGATCGGCTTCCTCAGCTACAGGAGAGCTACTGTTTTTGTTGACTTTTTGTTTGCTCTATCTTTTTCCTTCTTTTCGCAGTCTTTTCGCAAGCCGATGAACAGGGAGTTTCGAAAACGACTTGCGATCGTTTTTATTAGAACTTTCCAAAGTTTGCTCGAAGTAACAGTCCCAGCAGGGTTTTACCCTTCGCACACTAATGCTGTGGAACGATGCGCTAGCCCTAGTAAGAACATAATAAGTGGGCACTATTGCACTATTACAACCCCAGTGGGGGCCGAGATGGGTCAAAAAATAATTTTCGCTGAAACTTTCTGCTATGGGGGTTATCGAGGGTCCTGATCACGAATATGACATCCATTTTTGGCGCTGGCGCCAAATTTGGCGCCATTTGGCGCCAGGTGGCGCCACGACTGATTCCCACTAAATTCGCTGTAAACTTCTGTATAGGGGTTATTTGGGGTCCTGATTACGAATATGACATTCGTTTTTGTTGTTAGCGCTATTCGGCGCCTATTTCCTGCTCGTCTGCGCCCTCGCACTAATTAGATCGCAATCAGGGACTAGAGCCTTAGAAGAGAGAGTGGCCGGCCAAAGGAGCACGGCATTCCCTGTCGTCTACAACACTTCCATATCGGCCGCACACGGGTGTGGTTAACTACTGGCGGAGTTTAGCCCTCCCCCCTGAAGCTTAGTCATTAAGCCGCCATAGGTGAGAAGCTTTACAAAATCAAGAAAATGGTTGTAAACAGCACGAATGTCAAAAACAGTTGGCACATATCTTATAAGGCGCATAGGCAAAACCCTATTCAGAAGTTTACAGCGAATTTGGTGGTAATCAGTAGTGGCGCCAGCTGGCGCCAAATGGCGCCAAATTTGCGCCAGCGTCAAAAATGAATATCATATTCGTGATCAGGGCCCTCGATAACCCCCATAGCCGAAAGTTTCAGAGCGAAAATTATTTTTTGACCCATCTCACCCCTACTGGAGTTGTAATAGTGCAATAGTGCCAATAAAGTGTGACTAAACAAAAACTCGCCATTGGAAAGCCGCTGAGAAAGGGAAGCTGAACAGCTTCGAAGTGGGCGTGGTTGCTCAGTCGGCTGCAATCCCCTCGGCCGACTTCCAACCACGCCCACTTCGAAGCCGTTCAGCTCCCTTTCCAGCGGCTTTGGTGAGTTTTTTGTTCAGTCACACTTCTTATGTTCTTGACTAGGGCTAGCGCATCGTTCCACACCATTAGTGTCGAAGGTAAAAACCCTGCTGGGACTGTTGCTTAACCATTCATGTTTGCCGTTAAACACGGTACACTGTTAGGCTTGAGAACCAATACTGGCTCTTCCGTTGATACCCCTTACTGATATCCCTTTGATTTTTTCCATTCCTCTTTTCCAATTTTTTTCTAATCCATGAAAATTTTATGGAGATCTGAATAGTAGAGAAGTATACATTTGTATTTAGTGCGTGAGGAACTCTCGGAGTCTGAATCCGAAATTGAAGACGATATGATAGAAGAGGACGATGAAGACATGAGTGAAGAGCGAACAGACCAGGCATGTTTACACAACTTTTCAGGGGGTGTCGTTTCTCCACGCCACGCCGCGCACGAAATTGTCGCTCTCCGCGCGATTAGTAGCGCGATCTGATCGCGCGGATTCGTTCACGTGTAAGACCGACGTCATAGTCGGCGACGGACCAAGCGATAGAGCGATCCATCGCTTGGTCCGTCGCCGACTATGACGTCGGTCTAATTGTCGCGTGCAGCGTGAGGAAACCATACACCTCCTCTCCATACCATTGTGAACATATGGCAGCTGTCAGGAAAAATTACCACACTAGCAAACCGGCCGATTGTAACTTCTAATTGTAATTGTCTGTTGCACAGACACAAGCCAACGAAAGCTGACCAAGCAATCCAATCAGACATTCAACAACTTCGAGAAATAATCCTTCACGACGCAAGATACCCTCCCTTTCATATAACGAGAAGAACGTAGGGTGCAGACTATACACCGCAAATGACGACTTATTTGAGGGCCATGGTCACCTGTGGTGTATGATCTGCACCCGATGTTCTTCTCGTTATTTGAAAGTTAGGGTACTTATCCAGTGCGACTTTGAATGATTCGCGAGTTGATCACAAATAGACATGCGAATAGGTGATTGAGCGAAAGGAAAAGATATGTATCGATCAGCAATCAGGCGAGTCTTCTCAAACGCCCAACGTGCAGAAACAGCGAAGACGTAACTCCTTTTAAAACGTTGACGACCGCCGTTGTGTGCGTACTGCTTCAACATTTTTCGTATTCTCTCATCAATAGACATTAATC